CACATGCAAAACAAAACAAAGTTTGGAGAGGGATTCCTAGATAAGGGGAGAGAATAAAGGCATGGGGGTATAAAATGGTATAGTTTGGGAACATACTAATGACAGGCTATGATGTGATAGAATTTAAAATATACACAAAAAAAAGGGAATGAAACTAGAGAATAAAGAATAGGTCCAGGCCCACGGGAGTTCAGATTAAAACTATGAAAAGTTTTCAACAAGGAAGTAACATAGAATTCACGGTAGAGAAAAATCATTACAGCTGAAGAGTGCAGAATCTATCTCAGGGGTGTCAGGTGGGCACTACTAGATGCAAGGACAAGTTAGAAGACTGTGGCATTCAGTCGAAGGATGCTCTGAACAGGATGGGTGTAGTTCTTAGGGGGGCAGGTTTGAGAAATATTTAAGGTATCCAATGGATAAGACGTTGTGACTACTTGGTCATAAAGTGGTGAAAAGAAGAGCCAAGATGGATATCCAGGTCTCTCGCCATTAACTGATGCCCGAATCTAAGAGAAATAGGTTTTATTTGGAGAGGAAAATGAATAATGATTTCAGTTCAGAACGTGTTGGATCTGGATTGCAATCAGATATGGCCCAAAAGCTAATGGATAAATGAGCTCAGAGAGGTAGGAGCTGAACAGAGATTTGAAGTGTCTATGAAACATTGCTACCATCCAAAATGAAGCTAAGAAGTAAATTAGATAATGTGTGTAAATAGCTTGATGCTACACAGTACTAATAATGAAATAGATTTGGATGACGTATTTAGGTACCTCACTCAATAAATTTCAGTTTTATTCCATCCCAGGGAAAAGCATTGAGTCAATCTCTGTACTCAGAGAGAGCCTGAAGTTAAAGCTATAACTTTACCTCCCAGTATCTCTCTGAGTTTTCAAGAAAGCTAAATAAGATGACTGTCAACCTTCCAGTTATTTCTTTTCTAATCACTAATTGGTGATGAACTTGGTGCAATGGTTCATCTTTCCCAAACCATAAATAGTTAGCTACCCTCTTGCCTCTTTAGCTAAATGCCTCTGATAAAAAAAGGATTTAAAGCCTCTGACTTAGAAAACATAATTTTTAAATCTGCCAATATAAAAGTGAAAAAAGATAACTGAGAATGTCATGATTCAATTCTCAATTTCCACTAAGGCATCCAAGTCCTGACAACCTTGGGGAAGATGGAAAGATGGAGGAGATGGGAAGAGTCATAACTTTTTCTATTCTCACTCCTGTTTTCCCAAAGTCTTTTACCCAAGTTACAGAAAGTGACCATCCACCAGCACAGAACAGAACACCAGGCGTTACTTTAAACCACCTTCATGTGACTCTATACATCTAACCTTTTAAATTTCCTTTTTGTAAGCAAGCAGAAAAATCTTCTATTAGACCCCAACTTTTAAGTAAGGATACCTAAAAAAGAAGAAAACGCTAGCTACAAGTTTTGAATTAAACCGATTAACTTTTTAAACTCCTTTTTGTTGTGTTAAAAATTTAAATTAGATCAGCCAGATACCACACATCTACCCTGCCCTAGCATCAGAGAATTAAACTTATTCCTTGCCACAGACTAATTCTCATTATCTCATAGTGTGGGGAGTGGTTTTCAGTAGATAAGGGATCATGATTGTTCTCAGAGATATAAAGTCTTGTCCTTCAAAGGTAAGGATAATTGGATTGGTTCCAATCAAGTAGAATAATGTGGACTATGCTTTCAAACCACCTTCAAAAACAAAGAAGTGTGAGCCTGGTGTCTGCCAGTCTGCCGATGCACATTTGCTCTGCAAGAAAAAAGTCTTTGCTATGATGGATGAAAATCCCCAAATACTATGTATATATGTCTGGTTGTCTAAGTATAAAATGTGACTTAATCCTGCCCCAAACTACTAAGATGATAATTGAACAGTGAACAATACTGGGCAAATTACCTGTTAGAGCAGTATTTTGTGAACTATTATATGGATGGCAATATATTTTCAAAACATGTCATACTTTAATTTTCCTTGTGCTTATACAAGGCCATAGAAAAGGCCCTGTTATGATCCTTTTGTTCTCTAAAGAAAAGTGACTTTCCTTATAGTGAAAAGCGGAGACTTGCTCCTCAGGAAGGGTAAGTGGCCCGTGAGAAGCCCTCACTGCACCAGGACCAAGGAGTGCAGCACGGAGCACACTGGGCTATTTTTCTCTGTGCTATGTCTGAGTAATTGAAAATAAGTCCCAGGAGAAGGGGGAATAAGCCCCTGTACAGTTGAAGTAATGGAATCGACATGTTAAGAATTTATCGACTATAACATTTGGGAAACTTTTGGAACTCAAGAATTTGTATTGCATCCCCATCTGAAATGGATAAAGAAAAAGACAAATTCTCGAAGCCAGAAGATATCCCCAGAGCACTTCTCAAAGCCAAGGAAGCTATGTGATCTTATAATACCCACTAAGCGTTCAGCTGATTCCAACCAGAGTGTCACTCACCTTTGTCACCAGCCAGTTAATGACCAACAATCAGTCAAGATCTCTATGTTCTTTTTTCTTTTGAGTTTTAATTCAAGTGAAAACATTCACGTTTTACCTTCCCATCGTTTGGCATGATCCCAGTCGTACCTCTCCCAGCCTGTGACCAGGACTGTCTTCTGGAGAACCAGGATCTGTGAAATATCCACAGCTCCGTCTTGCCCAACAATCAGCGTGTGGTGACAATATCCGTTGAAGTCCCATATCTTTAAGAGAAAAAGCAAAACCACCTTTCAGACATGAAGAGAAAATGTCTTCTTCAATGTGTAAAATAATGTTGTCTAACAGGAGTAGTTTAAATTTGAAAATAATCTTGTTACACAGTATTATTTTAGATTTTTGTGCTTGCATTCTGAACTAGGATGGATTCACTTAGAAAATGTACTAAAAAGAAAGCCATCTCACCATTTGAATTTAGACATTGTATTTATTACTTTTGTGAGATATTGTGAAATATCTATATGCCCAGATAGACACTTATATATAGATATACAGATAGATATTTAGGTAGATAGATGGATGGATGGATGGATAGATGATAGATATATAGACAGATAATTTGGTGTCCATCCCCATTTCCTGGCATGTAGCTCCTCAAACCCTTGCACATTCCAGAGTGTTGAGTGTCTTTGGCATACTAATGACAACACTGGTGGTTGGGGACCCCTAAATAGTCTGGGGGGCTGTTTATAGAAAAGGCCAAAACATGATTAGAGTAGAACTTTCAACTCCATCTCTCAAATTCCCAGGAGGGCGGAGGGTCTGAAAGTTGAGCTGAGCTCCAGTGGCCAACGATGGAGTCACTCATGTCTACATAATAAAGCCTCCCTGGAAACCCAGAGGACAGGGTCAGGGGAGCTACTGGATGGCAATGGCGGAGGGTGTGGGGGTGGTGTGTGCAGCGTGGAAAAGCCATGCTCCCCCCACGTGCCTTGCCTTATAATCTCTTCCTTCAGTCTGCTCATCTGTGTCCTCCGTAATGTCCTTTATAATAAATGGTTAAGTGTAAATAACGTTTGTCCCTGAGTGCAGTGAGCTAGTCTCGAAAATTACTTAAGCCTAAGGAAGAAGTCTTGAGAACCCTGATTTACAGCCAGTCAGTCCAAAGCAAAGGTCAAAACATGTGCTTAAAACTGGCATCAGAGATCAGGGGAAGTTTGCTGCACTGAGCCCTCAACTTGGGATCTGATGCTATCTCTAGGGAGACAATGTCAGAATTGAATTGAATTAGGGGACTCTCAGCTGGTGTCTCTGCAGAACTGGTGTGGGGTAAGTCATGCATCAGTAATGACAGAGATACCTTCTGAGAAATGCATCATTAGGCCATACTGTCATTGTGTGAACATCACAGGATGTCCTTACACAGATCTCAGTGGTGTAACCCACTACACCCAGCCCATAAGTCTTCCCTATGGCTGTAAGGGGGCAAGCCTGTACCCCACGTTACTGTGCTGAGCACTGTAACACAATCGCGATTACTGGTGGGCCTGGTTGGTTGTGACCAAAATGCACATGGCTGCACATATATCTCACACTCTGCTGATAACATAATCAGTCTATTCTAACAATTGATGATTCAAAATCCATAAATTAATGTGTGTTTTGTCAGGGAGAGACAATATAAAATCATGAAGACCACACACCGGAGTCTGTCAAAATCCCGGCTTTCTCACAGTGTCTCTCTACATGATGCTTCTTCCTCTGAGACACAAGAACTTACTCCTCAAGAAAGCTTAGGAGTGGTTCTCAACCTGTGGGCCGTGACCCACAGGAACGGTATTAAAGGGCCGTGGCATTAGGAAGGTTGAGAACCACTGGCTTAGAGGATTAACTGTGTGATCCAGAGCTTGAAACACAGTCACTATGTCCTGGGTTTCCATCTTTTGCCAATAAAACCTTCTGTGGATGGTGGATACCTGTAGAGACAAGCATCCCATGCTCAGACAGGGCAGTTCGCTTCACTGTGCTCCCCCAGGAGATTGATTCTGAGAAAGATTTCTTCAAAGATCGAGCTTCTGCACCTGCCTATAGATATGCAGAAATATGCAGAAGATCTCTTTAGAAGAGGTCCTGGAGAATCAGGCCAGGGTGCAGCTGGGAGTTTGAATACATGTCCTTGAGTGTTGGGTTCTGTTCTCTGTCTTCTTCCTTCATTAACATTATAATCTCTAGTTTCACTTTGGGCCAGCAAGAACAGATGGTCAGTCTCCTTTATGTTTTTACTCTAAACAAAATCAATTGTATATGTGTTCCTCAGCCTTCACACTGAATTGTAATCTTAATGGTAGCTTCCTAATGTTACTTCGCTTCTTTGAATCTGTGTTAAATTCCTACTGCATGTTTGAAAGTATATAAGATAATCAGTAAAGTCAAGCCTGGTTGCTGACCTGAGCAAGTCTCGACCTCCCTTCAAATCAATCATCCCGTCTGCAGTTCCTTTTCCCTGAGTCTCC